CATCAGTGCTAATTTCCACCTGTCGTCTCTGGGCAGGTTCATTGACTGACTGTATTTAACTGACCTTGACTATCAGCTGTTTCTCCTGAAGATCTGTAACATGTTTTGGGTTGATGGGGGAAACCGGAGCGCCCGGAGGAAACCCATCCAGACACAGGGAGAAACATGCAAACTCCACACAGAAAAGCCCGGGCGACCGGAGGATCAAACCCGGAACCTTCTTGCTGTGAGGCATGAGTGCTTGCCACATGGCTGGACATGTGTGTGTTCCTGTCTTTGTTTCCCTCTTGTGTGACTCTCTTGTCTCTGTGAACAGTGAGTTTATGTTTTATTGTTTGTAACAGCGAGCTGCCGGGGATCTGCAGAGGGAGATCTGCCCAGGGCTGTGATCTGTTATATTTACTTTAGTCTGTGTTCACTGGTCGAACTTTTCTTCAATAAAACATTCAGGAACAATGCAGTCAAAATGAGACTCATTATTTTAATATGACACTGTTCAATAATGAAACACCTTCTGTTGTAGAACATTGTGTTCAGAGTGTTGTGTGTTCAGAGTGTTGTGTGTTCAGAGTGTTGTGTGTTCAGAGTGTTGTGTGTTCAGAGTGTTGTGTGTTCAGAGTGTTGTGTGTTCAGAGTGTTGTGTTTTCAGAGTGTTGTGTGTTCAGAGTGTTGTGTGTTGTAGAGTGTTGTGTGTTCAGAGTGTTGTGTGTTCAGAGTGTTGTGTGTTCAGAGTGTTGTGTGTGTTCAGAGTGTTGTGTGTGTTCAGAGTGTTGTGTGTTTTCAGAGTGTTGTGTGTTCAGAGTGTTGTGTGTTTTCAGAGTGTTGTGTGTTCAGAGTGTTGTGTGTTCAGAGTGTTGTGTGTTGTTAAGTGTTGTGTGTTCAGAGTGTTGTGTGTGTTCAGAGTGTTGTGTGTTCAGAGTGTTGTGTGTGTTCAGAGTGTTGTGTGTTCAGAGTGTTGTGTGTTTTCAGAGTGTGTTCAGAGTGTTGTGTGTTCAGAGTGTTGTGTGTTCAGAGTGTTGTGTGTTCAGAGTGTTGTGTGTTCAGAGTGTTGTGTGTGTGTTCAGAGTGTTGTGTGTTGTGTTGTGTGTTCAGAGTGTTGTTGTGTTGTTCAGAGTGTTGTGTGTTCAGAGTGTTTGTGTGTTCAGAGTGTGTTGTGTGTGTTTTCAGAGTGTTGTGTGTTTTCAGAGTGTTGTGTGTTCAGAGTGTTGTGTGTGTTCAGAGTGTTGTGTGTTCAGAGTGTTGTGTGTTCAGAGTGTTGTGTGTGTTCAGAGTGTTGTGTGTTCAGAGTGTTGTGTGTTCAGACTGTTGTGTGTTCAGACTGTTGTGTGTTTCAGAGTGTTGTGTGTTTCAGAGTGTTGTGTGTTTTCAGAGTGTTGTGTGTTTGTGTTCAGAGTGTTGTGTGTTCAGAGTGTTGTGTGTTCAGACTGTTGTGTGTTTTCAGAGTGTTGTGTGTTTCAGAGTGTTGTGTGTTTTCAGAGTGTTGTGTGTGTTCAGAGTGTTGTGTGTGTTCAGAGTGTTGTGTTTTTTCAGAGTGTTGTGTGTTCAGACTGTTGTGTTTTCAGAGTGTGTGTAGTGTTGTGTGTTCAGAGTTGTGTGTCAGTGTGTTCAGAGTGTTGTGTGTTCAGAGTGTTGTGTGTGTTCAGAGTGTTGTGTGTTTCAGAGTGTTGTGTGTTCAGAGTGTTGTGTGTTTCAGATGTGTCAGAGTGTGTGTTTCAGAGTTGTGTGTTTTCAGAGTGTTGTGTTGTTCAGAGTGTGTTGTGTTGTGTTTCAGAGTGTTGTGTGTTCAGAGTGTTGTGTTTTCAGAGTGTTGTGTGTTCAGAGTGTTGTGTGTTCAGAGTGTTGTGTGTTCAGAGTGTTGTGTGTTCAGAGTGTGTGTTTGTGTGTTCAGAGTGTTTGTGTGTTCAGAGTGTTGTGTGTTCTTAAGAGTGTTGTGTGTTTTCAGAGTTTTGTTTTCAGAGTGTGTTGTGTTCAGAGTGTTGTGTGTTCAGAGTGTTTGTGTGTTCAGAGTGTTGTGTGTTCAGAGTGTTGTGTGTTTTCAGAGTGTTGTGTGTTCAGAGTGTTGTGTGTTCAGAGTGTTGTGTGTTCAGAGTGTTGTGTGTTCAGAGTGTTGTGTGTTTTCAGAGTGTTTGTTGTGTTTCAGAGTTGTGTTGTGTGTTCAGAGTGTGAGTGTTGTGTGTTTCAGAGTGTTGTGTGTTCAGATGTGTGTTGTGTGTGTTGTGTGTTCAGATGTGTGGTGTTGTGTTCAGAGTGTTGTGTGTTGTGTGTGTGTTCAGAGTGTTGTGTGTTCAGAGTGTTTGTGTGTTCAAGTGTTGTCAGAGTGTTGTGTGTTCAGTGTTGTGTGTTCAGAGTGTGTGTGTTCAGAGTGTGTTTTCAGATGTTGTGTGTGTTCAGAGTGTTGTGTGTTCAGAGTGTTGTGTTGTTCAGAGTGTGTGTGTGTTCAGAGTGTTGTGTGTGTTTCAGAGTTGTGTGTTTCAGAGTGTGTGTGTCAGAGTGTTGTGTGTTCAGAGTGTGTTGGTGTGTTCAGATGTTGTGTGTGTTTCAGAGTGTTGTTGTGTTCAGAGTGTTGTGTGTTCAGTGTGAGTGTTGTGTGTTCAGAGTGTTGTGTGTTCAGACTGTTGTGTGTGTCAGAGTGTGTGTTCAGAGTGTGTGTTGTGTTGTGTGTTCAGAGTGTTGTTGTGTGTTCAGAGTGTGTGTGTTCAGAGTGTTGTGTGTTCAGAGTGTGTTGTGTGTGTTCAGAGTGTTGTGTGTTCAGAGTGTGTTGTGTGTGTTCAACTGTTGTGTGTTCAGAGTGTTGTGTGTTCAGAGTGTGTTCAGTGTGTGTGTGTTCAGACTGTTGTGTGTGTTCAGCTGTTGTTGTGTTTGTTGTTTTCAGTGTTGTGTGTGTTCAGAACGTTGTGTTTTCAGTGTTGTGTGTGTTCAGAGTGTTGTGTTTTCAAAGTGTTGTGTGTTCATAGTGTTGTGTGTGTTCAGAGTGTTGTGTGTTCAGACTGTTGTGTGTTCAGACTGTTGTGTGTTCAGACCGTTGTTGTGTGTGTTGTTGTCAGAGTGTTGTGTGTTTTCAGAGTGTTGTGTGTTTTAGAGTGTTGTGTGTTCAGAGTGTTGTGTGTGTTCAGAGTGTTGTGTGTTCAGAGTGTTGTGTGTTTTCAGAGTGTTGTGTGTTTTCAGAGTGTTCAGAGTGTTGTGTGTTCAGAGTGTTGTGTGTTCAGAGTGTTGTGTGTTCAGAGTGTTGTGTGTGTGTTCAGAGTGTTATGTGTTTCAGAGTGTTGTGTGTTCAGACTGTTGTGTGTTTCAGAGTGTTGTGTGTGTTCAGACTGTTGTGTGTTTTCAGAGTGTTGTGTGTTCAGTGTTGTGTGTTCAGAGTGTTGTGTGTTCAGAGTGTTGTGTGTTCAGAGTGTTGTGTGTTCAGAGTGTTATGTGTTTTCAGAGTGTTGTGTTTCAGAGTGTTGTGTGTTCAGAGTGTGTGTGTTCAGAGTGTTGTGTTGTTCAGAGTGTGTGTTTTCAGAGTGTTGTGTGTTCAGAGTGTGTTCAGAGTGTTGTGTTCAGAGTGTTGTGTTCAGAGTGTTGTGTGTTCAGAGTGTGTGTTGTGTGTTGTGTGTTTTCAGAGTGTTGTGTGTTCAGAGTGTTGTGTGTTCAGAGTGTTGTGTGTTCAGAGTGTTGTGTGTTCAGAGTGTTGTGTGTTCAGAGTGTTGTGTGTTCAGAGTGTTGTGTGTTCAGAGTGTTGTGTGTTTTCAGAGTGTTGTGTGTTTCAGAGTGTGTTTTTCAGAGTGTTGTGTGTTCAGAGTGTGTGTGTTTTCAGAGTGTTGTGTTGTTCAGAGTGTTGTGTTTCAGAGTGTTGTGTGTTCAGTGTGAGTGTGTGTTGTGTGTTCAGAGTGTTGTGTGTTTCAGAGTGTGTGTGTGTTTCAGAGTGTTGTGTTTTCAGAGTGTTGTGTGTTCAGAGTGTTGTGTGTTCAGAGTGTTGTGTTTTCAGAGTGTTGTGTGTTCAGAGTGTTGTGTGTTCAGAGTGTTGTGTGTGTTCAGAGTGTTGTGTGTTCAGAGTGTTGTGTGTTGTCAGAGTGTTGTGTGTTCAAACTGTTGTGTGTTTCAGAGTGTTGTGTGTTCAGAGTGTTGTGTGTTCAGAGTGTTGTGTGTTCAGACTGTTGTGTGTGTTCAGAGTGTTGTGTGTTAAGAACGTTGTGTTTTCAGTGTTGTGTGTGTTCAGAACGTTGTGTTTTCAGTGTTGTGTGTGTTCAGAGTGTTGTGTTTTCAAAGTGTTGTGTGTTCATAGTGTTGTGTGTGTTCAGAGTGTTGTGTGTTCAGAGTGTTTGTGTGTTCAGAGTGTTGTGTGTTCAGACTGTTGTGTGTTCAGAGTGTTGTGTGTGTTCAGAGTGTTGTGTGTTCAGAGTGTTGTGTGTTCAGACTGTTGTGTGTTCAGAGTTGTGTGTGTGTTCAGAGTGTTGTGTGTGTTTCAGAGTGTTGTGTGTTCAGAGTGTTGTGTTTTCAGAGTGTTGTGTGTTCAGAGTGTTGTGTGTTCAGAGTGTTGTGTGTTCAGAGTGTTGTGTGTTCAGAGTGTTGTGTGTTCAGAGTGTTGTGTGTTTTCAGAGTGTTGTGTGTTCAGAGTGTTGTGTGTTCAGAGTGTTGTGTGTTCAGAGTGTTGTGTGTTCAGAGTGTTGTGTGTTCAGACTGTTGTGTGTTGTTCAGAGTGTGTTGTGTGTGTGTCAGAGTGTGTTGTGTTGTGTGTTCAGAGTGTTGTGTGTTCAGAAGTGTTGTGTTTCAGAGTGTGTGTGTGTTCAGAGTGTTTGTGTGTGTGTTCAGAGTGTTGTGTGTTCAGAGTGTTGTGTGTGTTCAGAGCGTTGTGTGTTTTCAGAGTGTTGTGTGTTCAGTGTTGTGTGTGTTCAGAGTGTTGTGTGTGTTCAGAGTGTTGTGTGTTCAGACTGTTGTGTGTTCAGAGTGTGTGTGTTCAGAACGTTGTGTGTTCAGAGTGTTGTGTGTCGTACAGTGTTGTGTTTTCGAGCTGCACGTACCTCGTGGATTCCAAAGTGGGCGTACGAGTCGAAGTAATAATCCCGTGACGTCATCTCCTCCGGGGTGAGGAACTTGGCCATCTTCCCTCGGCCGGGGCAGGTGGACAGGCTGGCGGCGTGGGGGGTGTGCGGCGGCAGGGCGGCGGCGGCGGCGTGGGAGGCGGGCAGAGGGGGCGGGGGGCAGAGCGAGGGGCGGGCACGACCGAAGGCACAGGTTTAGGCAGAGACGTGGGCTGAGACGGGATGATGCGGATCGGCTGAGG